AGGGTCTTCGTTATTGTTTCTGTCTAACCCTTTCGATTTGAATATTCTTAATTTCATCTGGTCCAGATTGACTGATTGTTGACAATGCAGTAGTTTCTTCTTGGACTTTTCGTTGCAAACGTTTGAGTTTGAACTTGGCGAATTATTGTTCGCCGTTGGTGCTTGAAGCTTGGCTTCTAGTTACTTGGTCATTTCGTTTTACTAATCTTCCAAGAAACTGTCTAAGTTTTGTAACTGAGCAGTTCTCGTTGTCATCCTTTTGTTGATATATTTTATCCAGTATCTATCCTGGTAATTTGCTTTCAATGACGGTCTCAATACTCGGATGTTCGAGATTTTCGCCGATAGCTTGTAGTTGTCGAAGAATTCTTTCGATTGACTCGACTATTGATTTCCATTAGCGATTGTATCTTTTGATCGCGTGTAGTTCGTTGTAAAGAGACTTCTTAATAGTAAAAGTCTCTCCAAATTTTTCCACCAAGACCTTTCTTATAACTTGAAATTTTCTGCGATAATATCATAACCTATTACGCTTTTTAACGCTTCTCCCCTTAAGCAAGAGGATAGACAATTTAATTTTTGTATATCTGGAATTGTTTGAGAATGTACAGCAGCTTCAAAACTGCTCCAAAATTCTCTCCATGTTTTGGGGTCTCCGCTGAATACTGGCAGTGGTAATTGCGGTAAATTTATTGTCGATAAAGAAGCGGTTTTGGTTACATTTTGCTGAATCAATTCTTTGGTAATTTTTTCGTTTGTTCAATTATTAATTCAAAATCCTTTTTATACATATCTAATATAACAACAGTTTCTTTAGTTATTAAATTTAAAATATCCTTTTCGTCGTCGACCATTTGGGCGTACTTTTCTTCGTCTTTTTTTTGTGAAATGAGTATCGTACTGATATGATTCAACCATTTTGTATATTCCAAATAACCAATGTGTATTTCAAGACGTCATAGTTTTTCTTCGATTATTCTTCTTTTGAGTTCATATTGTTGACGCAATTCTTCCAACGGCAGTAGCTGATTTGGTGGCGACAAATCCAGGTTTCGTACCTCATTCAAAAGTTTAATTAGCTTGTTATTGCGGGTTGCGCGCTTTTCGTTAAGCTTGTCGTCATAGTGTTCTCAGCTGGTGGCGCCAAAATATCGAGAAAGTTCCATTTGTATGTGCTGAATAGCAAGGGAAAGATTTATTCAGTAGTAGAAGTATAGTAGCTATTATAATACAATAGTATTTAATAATGAAAATAGAGACGGAAATAGGGAGGTACAGTCAGTTTAAACGTAAAGTCAATCCTCGAGTTGAGCGAGACGAAGCAAGCGTTGATTTGATCCTCGACCAAGAAGATTTATTTTTGAATGCCAAGAATGCGCTTATTGGGACTTTTATATTGCCCATAAGTGGGTTGGGCTTACGATAAGAGAATAACTCCATTTAAGGTCTTTACAAAGCCGACAATATTTTCACAGCTGCAAGAGAAATTTGCATAAAAGATTAGATTTCTTGACACGAAGAGGAATTCTATAAAAATTCATCTTGCCAGATAGATACGCAGCTTTCTCACAGTTTGTATGCAAATTAGCGGATGTGTGCAATTTCGATATCAAAGGAAAAGACATTTTCACACAATTGACCTTAGATAACAGATTCATCACTTTAGGTATAGAAAACGTTGTATATATTTTTTGTATAATGTGATGTCTTTTATAACAAATATTTTTTACAACAAATTCTTTAGCCGTTTGGACGTATTACTATTTCCTTCGGTTTTTTTCCGGTACCCTTCTTGCCAGAAAATATTGTTTTGTTCCATAATGATTTTAAAAACTTAGAAACTTCAAATACCAATTTGGGATAACCACGTCGAGCAGTAAATTTTTCTAAAATATGCAGAAAGCTTTCAGCTGATAAATTTTCGATCATTTCTAAATGTACCGCTTTCGTTGTGAAGCATGTAAATAAAGCTATCCATCTCCTAGTAACGTCACTGTCGGTTTGACAGATATGAGATCCAGATAGTCCAATCCACCTGTGTAAAGATTTTAGAATGCTTAACTGAGTTTCCGGGAGATTAAGCATAATCAATAATTTGAATGGTTTATCTCTCCAGCGTTTACAGACCGTACACTGATTTAAAATTCGTTTGACTTCAGTTCTTTTTTTGCTATCCAAAATTTGCTTTTCATTGTTGAGAGCTTCCGAGCAATTCCGGCATGGTATAAATCTTCATGTTGCTGCTTGATCAGAAGCTATATTACTGAAATATGAATTATGTCTTGGTAAATAAATAGGATATTTATTATCCTCATTCAATTCTGAAATTCCCAATAATTTCCCTTTTTCACTGTAATAAAGATTCCATTTGTTTATTTCTTCTTCTGTTATTCCTTCTGATTGTGTTTGTCTAATTAAACCCATTCAACCGCTTTACAATCACCAGTTGTAATTTGATCCCTTTCACTGGATAATGATTGTAACCATAATAATTTTCCTTTTATTATTAGTTTTATAAAGTTGAGAGTCCGTGCTGTCCTTTGTAGTAATTTTAACCACCGGTTAAAGTGGCTTTCTTTTACAAGTTCGAAATTTTCTTGAATAGGGACTTTCACGACAGTGTTTTCTTCCTTTTCTTCATTTTGATGTATTTTTATATAATGAAAGTGCTTCATGCTTCACGACAGACGGCAGTTTTTTTAAAGGGATATATCGTGAGAAAAGAAGAGATGAAATTTCGGATTCGAAAATCCAGTTTTAGAAATTTATTTAGCGAGTTCATTAATCAAGTTCTCAGAATTTCGAAATATATAACTTTGAATTTTTGTATGCGATGTCTTTATTATAAAATTCCAAATATTTTTCTGTAATTGTTTGGCGTAATAATTAGCACATTGTAATCCTATTTCCTCCGTAAATTTCATTTGTGATACATCCTACAAAGTAATATTATCTTTTTCTATGTTTCCGCCCATTAGTTATTTATTAATATGTTTAGAGCAGGGTGGTCACTTAAAATTAAGATTATTACTCGAGATGAATTAATTACTTCTCTTAATTGCGCCAGACTCATTTTTCCTGTTCATATTTGTATGTCTTTTTTCATAGGAATTTTTGACAACAGCTTTTCTAGAGGCATTTGTCTCCAAGAAGGAAGAGAAATTTGTGATTTATTTTTTAATTCTTTGTAACTATTTGCATATATTTTCATCTTCAGATATTTTTTGCGCTGTTTAATTTCTGCACTTTTTTAAAATTAAGATTATTACTCGAAGTAAATTAACTTATTTCATTACTTGCTGGATAAAGTTTCTTGGAAATATAGTCCTTCCACTTCGGATGCTATGAAAATATTGGTGAGATATGAGGCCGATGGGTATATATGCAGTCAAAGATTGATGATTTTTGGGAGCTGATGTAATATATCTATCTTCTGAGACCATTCTTTGGCGACAATTTCTGGTATCGGTTGCCAGACGTGAAATTCGACATTGCGTACTTGTTATGTTTCTGCTGTAATCGATCATCGACGGTTTCATGGCTCATCCATATTATGCCATTGAAATTAGTACCTATCGAATCGGTAACTGTTGAACGAATGGCTAAAAACATAACGATTATTGATTTTTAGACTTTTATTTCCAAGTTCTCAAATGATAATCAAGTGAAATTACGATGTCTCATTCAAATTTTGCAACGATTAAAATTAACAATTGATAATGAAATAAAAGTTGTGGTCTGTTGCGGAATCTTCATTTGCAGTTTATAGTCCTTTACTGGTCAGTTGTCCCTGTATTCTTCTCCTGAAATTTTACCATAGGAAAGTTATGTACCTGAATTTTCTTCCTGTTAAAATGGTGCTGTACTTCATTTTCCTTGAATGATATACCAAAGGATGTCACGGATGTAACTGTTTGCAGATACTTTAGACTAATTTAATGTAGATATGAAACACCGTATTTCTTTCGACCTTCAATTTCTGTAAAAAGCATTAAATGACAAAACCAAAACAAGTGGCCTACGCAGTGTTATTCACATGTATGATGTGAATTTTAAAAATTAATTAATCTCAAAACAAAATTTTAAAAAAAGAATTTTTTGCAGAAACGATATATCAATGTTGGATGCAGGGGTTTGTTTCTATTCTTAGAATCTCAATATTAAAAAAAGAAAATCTCCCAATTACTTTTTGCACAGAAATGGAAAGTTTCGAGAAAAAAACTTAAGCTTGACTATTTACAGCACAAGAAAAATAGAGAAAATACCGGTGGTTCGAATGTTTGGAAGGAAATTGGCACTGACGATACAAACGTACGACTTCGTTTTCGAAGCATTCTTTAAATTTGAAGTTTTTTTTTGCAAACATCACTTTTTCTGATGGTGATTATTTCTTCCAATCATTTTTAAATGCAGGTAAAATGTAAGCATATGTGGCCAACACCGGCGGACATGGCGTTATTAAAGGGTAAACCGCGTTCGGAATGGGTGCAGCCGGAGCCTATGTCAGTTCAGGAAATAGATTTCTACTTGGGCCGAGTTCCAGAATGGTACATCGAGCAAAAATTCCTCAAAAAACCTGGTATTTGTTTCCAAAACAATTCCGGAATTCAAATGCCTCCATTAATTTTTATTAAATTATGCAAATTGAATGACTTCTTCAAATTGCATAAATTTTTTTTTTTTAAATTATAAAGCACTCAGCAACAAATATTGGATGAGAATTGTCTTCAGCAATTAATGGTATTAATTAAATCAACCAACAATATCAATTAAACTAATTCCTACTCTCGACATGTCGAACTGCTTCCTAAACTCAGAATTTCTCGACAAACTGTTTGATTTGATGTCACAAAAGCCGACAGCTATTGATTGTTTAACTCACTAATTTTTGCATTATTACGCAAATATATTAGCTGAATCAAAAAGGGAAAAAGTGCTTTCAGGAGATTATCTTCTGGCCCGTGGTCACGACAACAAATTACGTTTATCGGTAAAATCAAATGAACCTGGTAATCCTGCAGTACATTTTCCCATCGAATTTTGTCAAACAAAGCAGGTCAGTAATTCCGTAATAATTTCCCAGACTCATCAAACTAGAAATATGTGCTAAAATTCGAATTTTAATTGAAATTCTAGTTTGCATATGACAGCATTGCACAAAATAATACGTATTAGATTGAAGTAATGAGATACAGAAGAAGTGGAATATTGTGGTCCCGTTTTTGCAAATATTGGTTTAGGTACGCCTCCTATTGCTTTACTTTTCTCAAAATTTTTTGCAGATACGAGGTGATAGGAATTATTATTATCGAATTGAAAAAACCGTTTTGCAGAATCGATCAGTTTTAGGATTAATTCATTCGTATCAAAAGAGTAATGTAAGTGATAATTTATGATTTATCCATATCGATCCTTCGTTATTTTCACTTCATATAATTATTTTTTGTTAAGATGTAAAATCTGTAAAATTTGAGACTAACATAAAATATATATATATATAAAACTAACATATAGATCGACATATACATATATATTTTCAAATTTTACATTATAAGTTAAAAAAATCTTACAAGTTACAATCTGATAAATTTAAAGTCTTTCCGGATAATCCAATAAACTTAGTATCTGTTGATTTTTGAATTGTACACCCACATGACATAACAGGGTATCTTTAATCAGTCAAATCTCAAGTAGGCTGATTAATCAAGTTCCCTGTTTAGGTTAACAGTTTGAAGATAAATACAAAGCGTGATGTAAGTCTAATAGATCCAGTATTACCATGTCAAGGATGCCGTTATCTCAAAACCGAATACTCATTTCTAAATATGCAAATTAAAGACAAATCGGAGATCAATATTGGTGAATTGGTATGCAAAGGTGAAAGATCAACAGTAAGCTTTCTTCATCCTTTAAGCCATTTATTCCTCTATTCATGAAAGCCGATGTTTTGCGTATCTGTGTTACTCAATTAATGACGAAGTTCGGTCGGTTGAGTTTCAGATTTATAAAGCAACTCGTTATTTAACCAAAAAAGGTTTAATTAAAACGATGACGGAACGGCCGATCATTCTGAAGGAAATGGATGACTGTACTGCCGCGGTACTCGACGATATATTCAGGGTAACATCGTCAATTTGTGCAACAAGCTACTTGAACTTTTTTGTAAAAAGACGTGTATTGCCACCTCCTGAGGATTAACATGAGCCAAATCTCTGTCATTTTATTTGAATTTTCGACGTGTTGACTTCGTGGAGAATTCTTGCATGACTTTTCAAATATCTGCAAGAAGTTTGTTCAAATTGATTACGTAAACATGAATAATACCGTAACAGTTCCATTATCTTACCCGCCCAACAAAATCCGGCGAAAGGCATGGTCAAGTGTGAGTTTTCTTACTGCTAACTCTCAAACCACCCTACTATATGTATTGATGAAGTAACAATTCAGTCAATTAAACAAAGTGTTCTGCTTTTTCAGGAGTTGCACATAGTAAGTACAATTCGACATCAAATTGGATCTGAATCGGTTGTAAGTGTTGAAGCAATTATGGTCTTTGGTCGACCTTATTCCATCGCTTATGCACTGTGCAAGAAAGGCTCATTACTACAGTACCTTGAAAAGAATACCGTCGATATGGATACACGAATAAAAGTTCATTTTCAATGTTTCCTTTTTAAAGCATCTACAGGAGCAATACAATTCTTGGAATATTTGCAAATTTTTGAAATTCGTCTACGAAAATGATATTCAGTACAAAGAGGCCTTATTCGGTAGAAATATCAATTAGGATTAAGGCCTAAAGCATCCTAAGCATTTTTATTCGAAATTCTTCAAATTCTAACCTTTTTTGTACGAAGCAGATACTGCAAAACATAGCATATACTCTGTATCATTGTCAAAAGATTTCCGTCATTCATGGGAATTTGAGAGCTAAAAATATATTTGTTGATATAAATGATCATAAAACAGCCAAACCGATTTACTACATTGGAGGATTTCATCATGCGGTTATGGCCAAGTAAATTCTTTCGTTTTTGTTTTCTTGTGAGAACGAAGTAAACTTCCAAAAATTATTCTAAACATTGAAAAATCTTTGAAAAAAGAAAAAAATTTCTGAAATGATATGTTGCGCTGACGAATTAATTGCTTTATAAAACGGATTCATATGTTTTGAACATTATTTCTTACACAAAGCATTTATATGAGCTTATTTCAATGACTGAAGAGAGGATTTAAATTACCTAATTGGTCAAGTCAATTCAGATCAAAAGAAATAAATCCGAATGAATTACCAAATAAACGTTGGCTTGCACCAGAAGTTCTTACAACGAAACGGTTGACATTTGAATCAGATGTATTTGCATTTGCATTTTTGATGTATGAAGTTCTGACGATGAATGTGCCATATGAGACAATCGGGGATGAAAATGTGCTCGATTATATCGCCAAAAATCCATATGTTCGTCCAAGTGAGCTCATTTCTCATAAATTTTACGATTTAAATTCGTATTATTTTATTCAACTTCATTGTTTCTGTCTCAAAGAAAAAAAAAACCAAAATCATCGCGCAGGAGTTATTCCTCTCCTTTACATTTTCAGCAGTACCATCGACAGTTCCACATTGGCTAAGAGAATTAGTGAATGAGTGCTGGAGAGCATGTCCGACCAAAAGACCTAAAATGTCATACGTATGGCAAGAATTTAAGAACAACAAATAACAAATCATTCGAATTAATTTTCATTGTTGTTCCTCATTATAAAACATGTCTGCTACTACCAAAAAAATGACCATCCATATTTATAATTAACAATGATATTGGTTTCCCGGTGGAAATCGACTCAAGAAGAAGGCAAAAGTCACGAATCATTCCTCACTCTATTCTTAGAACATCACCGTCTATAGCTAACTCAAATTTTAACCGTGCATTCTGACGATTGTATTGCCACATAAAAAGTAAAGTATAATCTAATCTAAGGTCATTACATCTTATTAGTGTTTGTTTGTTTCTTCCTGGCCATTCCATTTCACTTCCATTAAAATCCCAAGTAATCACTCAACGTACAAAAAGGGAAGGAAGAGGGAATCCATTTCAAATTCCGTTTCGAATCCCGAGTAAAATCTCAGAGAGACGTGAACTATTTCACTTCCCTTTCAAATTACGAGTGAAATTAGAGAGAATCATGGGAGTGTAAGGCATTCTGAATGCGTCGTCGTTCACGTATGGAAGAAGAGTTGCATATTGGGTGGCATGGAACTATTGTACTTTGCTTGATGTGTGAATATGCCATCAATAATTAGTATTATTACTGTTCTCATAGGTAGATTATTGGTTATTTGATAGTGTGATTCTGATTATATTTTTCTTCCTAAACCTAATTTTATCGGAGTACACTCCGATAAAATTCGTGCGCCATGTTGCAAGTTACTACATAAGTTACTTGCACGTTTTTTTACGGTGTGACGAAATGCTTCACGTAAGTAATAAGCATACTAGTCATGTAGGTATGGCATCACGTTTGATGCCCATATTATACCGCAAATGTGTGATGTAATGTGCGTGAAAGGTATTTCGTATACTCCATTTGTTTATTTTACCATGTTTGTTTCTTTTTTTCCAGATGAATAATTCACAATTTGATGGAAATATATCCATAAGTACAGTGGGAAGTTCGCGTTCCACGCAAGAAATTGATGGTACACTGAGCACAACACAGTATTACTTCCTGCATGACGATTTCTTTCTGGTGAAAGGTCTCCAAAATTCGAATTTGTTTGCAAAACTTTCATTGGACGTATCAATAATTGAAGAATAAAGCAAATGTTTTCATTTTTGTTCAGGAGAAAATTTATTAGTCACAAGAAAAAAATACTATGGAAAAGCTAGCGCTATAATACTGGCAATTTATTGTTATGCTTATTAGATTAGTAAGCTGTTTGCTGTATTATAGTACTCCCTTCTCTTCATCCAAAAAATTTCCGTATCTGGTCAGAGAAAATTGTGTTCATTGGGAGCTCTGGGATGTGATAGATCTTTTTTAATTATCACTTCTCACATATCTTTTGATTTTCAACGTTTCAACGTTTATTTTCAGTTACCCAAGCACTTTTCGAAGATTTCCAAGCGAAATGCATAGATTCAGAGAATGTTAACGAGTCTTCCGATTTAGTTGCTTTGTTTTATGAAGTATGCAGTTTTAATTTTAATTTATTTTAAAATGGTTATGGAGTAGTTGATAATTTTCTTACGACTTTGTCATTAATGTTTATTTTACTACTATTATTCTTATTTGAATAAACGGATTTTTTTGCAAATTATTGTGCTGCTTTAAGCTGACGCTTACTTAGTATGGTTTCAGATATGTGGTGATGGGATAGCAGCTTTTCAAAAAGTATCAATGAGACCGGAGAAAACGGCGACTTTAACATCTGTTTTGCAGCAGCTCTTAAACGAGCAGCAAACCTATCTTTTGTTGTTAAATCTTGCCAAGATGAATCGGATGTTATATGATCTAAAGGTTAAGTCTAAAATTTCTGTTTTTGACTGTAAATTTTACGTGACGAGTTTGCATTTATTCATATAATAACGAATAAAAGAAGCTAAGCACTTGCTAGTTTTAAAAAGATCTTAAACAACTACCTACTTGTGTTTTAGAACAGATTTCTTCGAGCTCGTGCAATTTATAATCTTTTTACTAATTTTTTTAGCTGTTGCCAGTTTTTTTAATCTTTGATTACAAGGTAGTTTCATGCTGAATTCACGGGCAGATTATTCAACTATCCAATTCGGTGTTTTTTTTATTTTTGCAGTTTCTTGCAGAATTTGGAGAAGCGATCTATTCTTGCTGATCTATTAGTCACTGATGTAGAATTCAGAAAGCTACTGGTGATTTTTTGAAAGATTCTTTGAAAAAAAATGGCATTTAAGCTCAGGGATAATTGTATTTGGAAAGTATGAGAAAAAGAAGCAGCAGTTACCTAAATTATTTATACCTTTTGGTATCGATCATTACCTGCAAACTTTTCTAAGGTACTTTTGGAATGGTGTGAAGAGAATGCCTACAATGAACCTGAGGCAAATGCTGAATTGTCGAATGAATATGCATATCTCGAGAAGAATTGCATGCTACGGTGAAGTTTTGTTCATTTATTGTAATATTATTGTGCAATGAATTGTTAACCTATATTTACATAAATTGAACAATATATAAGCAGCGTGGTAGTGTCGAAGATTGTTTGCTCAGTAACTGACTGAATAGACCTTACCAATTAAAGTTGAAAATCCAGACCAATATGGCATCTTTTGCTAGGTTTTTAAATAGCAAATAATACTTTTCATAGCAAAATAATTTAAATAGCAAACAATAAATAATAGTTTTCACACTAAACAAAACCAACAATGCCCGTGTAACATTCATGCTTAGCTTCTAGCTCTTCATTTTTCTATCTTTTCTCTCTATACACAATTTTAATTATAGAAATATTGTAAAATACAAAAATTGACCGTACGGTAGTACGCCCACATCCATGAAGTAGTTTCATCTCATACACATTAGTAAAGAATTCCTTTTTTATTCATTCCTGTATCGTTTTAATTAAAAATCATTATTTACATTATTAGAGTAGGAAAAAAAAATCATTTTAAAATTATAATTTTAGAGCAGAAACATTACATGCTCGAATTCGTGGTGAAAACCTTTGTGATCTGGTAAATTTTATCCACTTTTGTACTTTATAAGAGTCGACTATCATTTTCCAAAGAATACTGTAATTGATGCGTTTGACCCCATTCCACTTTTGATTGCTGTGATATAAGATACTAAAGGATACTTCAGACTTTTTCCCTACGATGCAGGTAGTAATCATTGCCATCTACCATCCAGTTAACATCTTATTGAATTCTTTTATTGGAGAAATAACATCTGTTATATTCAGTTTTATAGGATCTGCTTATTTTCAAGCAGAAATGAATTCATGGTATCAATTTAGAATCAGTCACTAACGGCTAACTGTTGTCTCAAGTTCAGGATTTAGACGGCGCGCTCCATGGACGCTTACACAATAAAGATGAAGAATTAGAAAGCAGAGTATTCAGCGTAATTTACACAATGGTGCGATGTGGTCGAATTGATGAGGTGCTTCTTTTATAAGCATTTACATTTCCGATCTCTTCACAAATTGATAAATGAATGAGTTATGAATCAGTTCATTCGGTCATTGATTTTCAATAATTTAGGCATCTTCATTGTTGGAAAAAGCTGGTCTTTTTTCTTTAGTACCTTTGCTACAACTAAGGAAAATGTCGCGCAATGCTGCTTTAACACCATTTTCTACAGATGAAGCATCTTATTATTTGGCCCGATCTCGTGCCTTCGTTAAGCGGACTATTGATAAGATCGTTTCTAAAGTGAGTTATACTTAAAATCAAATTTTCTATTAAAGTCGATTTATTAGAAATTAAATTGAAAAGATTAATTATAAAACGGAACCTGTTTAAATCGGCTAAGTTTTCAGCAGCTAAGGGCTTACTTGTAATTCAAGTTAATTAGTTCTGTAGCAGCCATCATTCATGTAAATAGAATATATTGGAAATGAAAATTTCTTCTTTGTACCAACTACGATTCTTTCCTGTTTTCTGCTCATTCTTTGTGATATGATTTGTGACACTTTATATTTATTTGCTATTTTATTTGTAATAATTCAAGCTTTCGTTCACATCCTTGATTATTTTACATTAAAAATTCGATATTTTTGTTATGTACTGACGCTTTAGGGCACATCGTTGTCGCAGGTAGAAGCCTGTCTGTGGTCAGTAGTAGCTGGACGTCTCGAACCTGCATTATCTTTATCGCCTCGTACTGAAGATCGTCTTTGGTGTTATCTTAATGCAGCTGTTGAATCTCGTTTGGATGCTGCAATCACCACCGCTCATAATGGCGATTTTGATGTTGGTATTGGTCGTGAGGTTGAAAATGACGATCTTCGAATTAATTCTATCTTCGATGAAATTGCTACGGTTTGTCTTCACCAAACAAGATCCCAGCATTGTCTTTTGAGATGTTTGAACATATTTTTTAAATCCAAAGAGGCCATCCTCTTATTGTCGAAAGCAGTAATCTTGTTTTGATTTGAAATTCGATTTCAAAATAGCATAATCAGCAAGCTAATATATTTTGCTTTAAATTCAAGATGTGGAAGAGTGCGCTTATGGTAATGGTCTGCATTTTTATTTGTTTTAAACTATCCTTATTTTTAGCTTGAACGATCCCCATATTACACTATTTATCGGCACATAGTGAACGATGATTCCTTATCACTGATTGCATCCATGGATATGTGGCTGGAACAACATGAGGATGATTTAGAAAGATTTCCTCATATCATACGTTTTATGGCTCATCTTGTTTTACTTCTTCGATTCACTGGTCAACCAGTGCAGGTAAGAGTATTTTTCCTTAATCAGGCGCTTTCAAGATAGACATATATTCTATGCTGTTATGTAAACGTGACGAGAGATGTTTCGCAGTTTTGAAGCATATTCAAAAAACGCTGTTATCTGCTGATCAGTAAAAAGTCAAGTACCCGACCTATAGATAGCTTTACCACAAAATCTATAAAAGGAAAAAATCGAATACTTTGACTGATATCGTAAACCCTTTTAGGCAATTTTGATGTAGTGATCATAATACTACTTCATCTTTTTCTTCCTTAGTTTTTCTGAAAATTAAATTTTACAAAACTCGATCAAATTTTCTGAATTGGAAACATGCTTCATCACCAGTCATATGTATTTGAATAAGTTGGTTTTTGGCTGTGATTGTAAGGCAAGTACAGATACTGAAAAGATTTATCTGTCGATTTTAGGAAGAAAGTGCCAATTCAATCATGCGCAGTTATGTTCGTTTATTGATCTCATTAAAGTTATATCCGATTGTTCCGTATTATGCTAGCAAGTTACCATTGGACTTGGCTGAGGAGATGGTTGTTGAGTTCATGTGCAGTAAGTTTCTGTAGATTCACTATTCACTTTTACCACAGCTTCTATTAACATTATGACAGCACTGTTTATTTCTGTTCAATAACGACTTATATATTTTTTTTATTATTTGTATATATTGTATATATCATATATATATATATATATTGTATATATGTGTATATATTTGTATTATATTACTAATTATATTATTGTTTCGGTTATCATCTTATTCACTGTTTTTCAGAATTAGAAGATGAGAACGTACGGAAGGATGTTCTTGCTGCTGCTTGTGTTGCAAAAATGGATGGAGTTCGTCTGTGCAAACAGATCTTTGATTCTATAATTGCTCGATATCCAGTAGTTGAAGAGGTGATCAGTTTTGATTTTTTTTTCTTCCTTTGCTTTTTTTGCATTCTGTTGTTTGATTATTAATCGTTTATATAAGTTTTGAGCGAAAACCAGTTTTATTTAAATACCAGTAATAATCTTTTTTTTTTTTAATTTCAAGCTTGTTGCACTTTTTAACCTCTAGATTTCCACAGGAATCTGAAAGAGATGATGTGTTAATTAATGCATGGAATTGGTTAATATATCCGGGTAGTGATACGTATTATGATGCTCTGTTAGGCATGAATGAAATAATGCGTGAATTTTTTTGTAAGTTTTATTACATATGGAAATATGGCATTCTGATTTCACAGTATATTTTGAGGTGTAAGGAAATCTTTTTCTAACGAATAAAGCATTACGAGAGGAGATATCTTTGGGAAAGTACTAATGTTATGAATCACGAATTAAACGAAAGTACTAATGCTATGAATCACGAATTAAACCTTCTGAAAATTTGCTAAGATTTTCCAGATGTTGATAAATTGGACAAAGCAAAGAAACTTGCGCAACGGTCAAAAAAATTGGTTAACAAAATATTGGAATCATTTTCTCATGTTATCGAAACTAATGATACGGTTGAGCCGAAGCTTTTAAGAGCAACTAGTGAATATAGAGCGTATGAATGCTACTTGGTTAGTTTTAGATTTCGTTCACTGGGGTTATTATCATTTAAAAGAAACCACTATATTTCCTCAACGTCATAATTTCCTTTCTATAGTTTAGTTTTTTAGCTTTCTAATACCTTATACACGGTTACGATATTTTAGAATGCTTTGATGAAATTCAATGAATGGTTCAAGCAGTCTCAACGTTCAGTACCATCAATCCTGGAGAATTCAGCAGATGACGTGGGAACTTTAATGGATATGCAACAAAGGATAATGTTTGAAGTGATACATCAGCGGGCAAATGAACAAATGCAAAGATATGAAAATGCCTCAAAACAGAGCACCACTGTTAGCTTTGTGATCTTACTTTGTACAATGCTGCAGATAACTGCCTTAATAGTTGCAGCATTAATAAATTAGAGAGGCAGTCTTTTACTTGTGAGGCCAGTTTTTCTTTTTATCAGTGCATTCTTGAATGTTTCAAGTAACTACAAATTAGATTTAGAATATATTATTTAGGCAGCGATGGAAGCGCTCGATCTTGTGCTACGCTTTCCACATGGTTGGATGACATTTAAGGAAGTAGAGAGCGAAACATTAAATGAGGTAACAGTGATGGATGTTCGATCTTATTTATAAAATAAGTATTCATACCAAATTTATGACGTCTTGAAGGAAATCTGTAATTACTTGATGCTGGGGTCATTGGTTAGGATTTAAAACGCCATCATTGAGATTAAAAGGAATTGCAGGCACTACTTTTATAATGATTGAGAAATTCCATTCCAACTCAACATCTTGAATTTAGTATCGTTCAGGAAGAAACCAAGAAACTCGCTGAAATAAGATCTCGTTATATCACTGCAGTTGTTGTTATGCTAGTCACTCTATTTGAAAAAAGTGATGTAAATGGATCTGCACAGTTGGTGGAGTTACTAGCTGATGAGGAGTATATGTTGGCAGAAGTAAGTTTCTGTTTTTTCCGAACTTAATGTATTGTTAATGCGCACGGTTGTGAAATTTGCTTCGATGGTTTTGTTTCTGACTCGCTTTGCAGCAATAGAAAGTCCCAATGAATTTTCGGAAACTTTCACACTTAAAAAGTTATACTGCTTTTGTTCGTTTAAGGTTCCTACTAATTCATCTTTTTAAGGAACATAATGCTTTCAAATTTGACATCTCCTTTTCAGGTCATACCGAAAGAACAGCTGCGGATACTTATAAAACAGCTTTCGGTGAACACTTACAAGAGTTTTTGAAGCAAGATTTGATGTGTATTATTGCATATGTAATGCTCTTCACTGACTTGTTTATTTTCCTTTTAAATTTTTTGGAAAATAAACTGTTTTGAAAAATGACTTTGAAATCTACACTTCACTGGATACTTTATGCTGATTTATGTTATCTTACAAGAGTTTCAGTCTTATACTATTTACTGAAGATTTCTTTTACACAGAATTTAGTCTTGTAATAAAATGTTTGTAGTAGCTGAGATATGAAACAAACAATAAAAATCTAAGGAATCAGCACTCGTAATTACTCATTTAGTGGCAGTTAAAGCAGTGTTGCAGTCGATTTAATAAAAATTCGAATTCGATTAAATGAACTAAGGCATTCTTCTTTCATTGATTTGAATTCGTTTGCTGGTCTGCTGGACAGTTGCCGATGATTCAGGAGTGGGAGGTGGCTGAAATATTGTTTTAATTAGCGGAATTTTTTTCATAATAGCCTTAAAACTGTCCGACCGAAATTTGTGGAAATTTGCTTCGGAGAACAAGTAAAGAATGACCGGTCTTTATCGTAGAGGCCAAACTGCATCAAAAATTAGTGCGAGACATTAAAAATAAAAAAAAAGATTATTCCTAATGTTCAGTATATACCGAATGTTAGATTACCTGATCGTGGAAGGGTTTGTCGGGCCACGGTGTCGGCAGTTTAGATGGACGCGCCGCGACGCTGGATGATGCTGGTTTCTTGTCCTTTACAGAATCAGAAAGCTCTAACACACGTCTCGCTAATTTTTCGTACTCTTCCGACCTTAAGTTAATGTAATTTTCAGATTTACATTGCAAATGACATGATGCCATATGGTCAAGGTAACACTTGAATTGTGTAGCTAATAGTTCATTTTCAAGCAGGTCATGATTAGGATCGCACTACTGTACGTACACATTCTGAATTGAACGATGGAACATTTCTTTGTGTGATTTATTCTGAATTTAGCGAGATGGCGAGCTAGGGGAACTTACTTCTCTTGTCGCATTGCGGTCTGTTTTTCGAGTTCTTGAAATGTCTCTTTGTACTTCCTTTCAATACTTTCATAATGTTCTCTACATTTTCGCATTTCATTTTCCTGATTTTTTATCTGCAATTTATAGTGTAGAAAAGGAAGATGGATTGGAAACTTTGAATTATTTAATTCAGATTTGGTTTGACACTAAGCTTTGTTGAATGGGTAGGGATTTTTTTTGCTTTTTGTACTTTCAAATTAAATTAAAGCAACTGTTTAGGATGAATTCTATATTCACTTGAGGAAAAGTGTGTAAATCACCAAGTTTACTTTTCTCAATATGTCACGATTTTGCTCTTGTAAATATCCTTTTTACTGCGATGATACTTCTTTTCCCCTTCATTCATTGGATATTTTATTTTGACTTCTTTAATTTATGATATTTCAATTTATTTTAGTAGAACAGAATACCTTCTGATGCAAATCGGAATTTATTTTTTTTAAACTTTCAGCATCGGCTGTAAGACTCGTAATGTTGTCTGTTAATGTATTCCCCTAAAAAATTTTTTTTGTTAAAATTCGGTTGTCCCGCTGAAAAGCCAGATGAAAAGCAAATGATAGATTTCAATTTTACAATCAGATAATAGATTTCGAAAAACCATAAGATCCATAAAATAAAAAAAACTGGTCGGAATAAAATACCTTTTTTAGTAATTCCTCACAACGTTCAGCAAGAATAATTTTTTCTTGTCTCAAAGATTTGTTTTCATTAGACATTGACTCAGATAATGCTTTTAAAGCATCCAGCTCCTTTTGCATTCTTCCACGAGACTCCCTTGCGCCTTCTTCAGTCTTCCGATATTGCTCCAGCTGAAGTAGTGCAACAAGATGTAGATGATTTGAATTCTCACAGTTCTTGTATTAAATCTCTAAAGCATTTAAGCATTTAACTATCAACCATCAGTATTTCCATAAAAATTAACTGGATTCACTGGATATGAATTTCAGAAAGCATACCTCTAGGATAACTCGTCGACCACGTTCCTTTTCCGTTTGTAACCTTTCTTCTGCCTTCAGTAGTTCCGTTTTCAGCAGTTTTTCTGACTCTCTCAACTATAATCATTTACTTTGGCGCAATAAAATATGGATGTAATTTCCGCAAAAAGATATTTTTGAGCTTACAAAATATCCACAAAATTTCCGACATTCAGATTCCTCATGCTCTGAAATTCTAGAAAATAAACCAACTGAAGCAATCTCTGCTGGTTTAATCTCTTTCTCTTGTGCAAGGTCAATCTGCTGATTGAGAGTTTTCACCCTCATTTCCAACCGTGTTATTTCCGCTGATAAATGTGAGTTTTCTTTTATCAAAGCACTGTTTTCTTCCAAGGCCTATAATTTGAAAATTGTCACTGACTTAAAATTCGTATTTTTATATCTTCATTTGCAAAGAATTTGTGAATTCCATCGAATACCTGACAGTTAACAGCGAAAGCAAAGCAAACCCTAAGATCACCTTTTCAGCAACGGCTTTATCCTTTTTAGCTGTTAATTGTTCTTCACGCAGCGATCGCCTCATTGAAGTAATTTCATTCTAGAAAAAAAAAAAAATTCCTCCCACCGTTCATTTATCATGCAATCTCCTGAACTGTGAACAAAGTTAAGTACTTGGATAATTTAATTCATTGAACTACTTATCGTGTGTTAATGTGTGCCAACTCAGCTATCAAACTAGTAGCATTTAGAGGTGAGCTTCTGCTTCGTCCATACAAAGAGGTATGTTAGAACACGTGAGATATTACATGATATAATTTAAAATAAATTTAAAATTATCAGTTTATTGCTGCTAATAAAGTTAAGAAAGGATGATGAAAAAAAAAAATTGGGGAATAATGCAGAAAAAAATTAGGAATAATGCACTAACAATCAGTGATGCTTCCTTATTTTCCATCTCTTCCAGCGTATTTTCTAAATGTCGAATTGTCTTCAACAGTCGATCAATCTCACTTTTCCGTTCTTCTTCAACATTAAACAGTGTCCTCTCCTCTCGATTTTTTTCATCAATCGTCATCTAAACGAAAAGCATTGAGGAAGATTAGTACCAGGATGAATGAATTGAATTCACAAGTTTCCATAGATGTTATCAGCAAATCTACTTCAGCTATTGTTTATCAATTACATCTTTCACTATAAACATTTTATTTCAATTGAACTAGTTTATCTTGCTGTTTTTCATTGGTCATTCCAAAAATTTCCACACTTCTTGAATTTAATGGGAAGTCAATAAATGAGCTTCCCATTGTACAGGAACGTATCCTTGAAATATTGAAATGTGAAGTAAGGCTTGACTGCTCACATATTAGCAAATCTTATCAAACATTAAGCAGTAGTCCAACTAATGATTTTCCCAATAAATTTACAAAATCAAGCACTTCTCATGTAACATTCACCTGTACTTCGCTTAGCTGATTGGTTGCATGTCTTAACTTATCAGCCAACTCGTCTTTTTCAATTTCCATTTTTGCCACATACGATTCCTGTCATTATATAGATCTTTTTAGAAATGATGATAACATCTGCCAAATGATAAAACGATAACTACTACTTCTCGGTCTATACCAAAAGATATGAAGTACTAACAAAACCTTATCAGCCAACGCAGGCGTAAGGTAATCAAGTCTTCTTTGTAGTTCCACGACTTCTTCCATAAGTGCACGTTTGTCTCTTGCAAAATTTTCTTAAATACATTTGATGACTTTAGCACTAATTTTCGAATTCAGTTTTAATCATCAAACACATTTCGTAAAACTTTGTTGAAATAATAAAGTCTAGACGGAAGCCTAGCTAAGTGATTTTTAAAAAGGAGCCATCTTTTTAAAGTACGTAAAATTTTCAAGCTCAGTCCGTAATCAATTTCAATCAATACCCAAACTTGGTGTTTAAGAATTTAATAAGGAATTCTTGAAGCGGTAGTTATGTTACTAAGATGGTTGCTTCCGAAATAGACGATGAGGTCATAAGGCAGATAAGAACCGGATACTGTTGAAAAGGACATTCTATTGAAAACTTCAAGCAATTCCTACTAAAACTGTTCACTATCAGCTATCGGAAATGGATAGCATTTAGCTATGTCTTTATCGCTGATATGATAAAGCTTATCAATATCCGGCATGTAATAGGGGAATGGTTACTGTACTTATTGGACAGATGTAAAACGATCAGGTGCCAACCTTCACTCTTTTGCAATTTCATTTTCAACTCCTCGATGTAATCTGATAATTGGGTATTTTCGTAAGCAATCCTCTCAACTTCAGTCGTTTTTTGTTTCAAGCGTTCCTCGAGTTTTCGTTCCCTCTAAAAGAGTTCGGTTATCAACTTTGAAGCTATCCGTAAAAGACGGTGAAATCAAACGCCGAGAATGACTTTCACTACTGAATTGTATGTATTAACTGTGGAAAACACGGAAACAAGTATTGGATAACAGTTTTTGTTTCGTTTTTCTAATTACAAATGTTAATACACAATAAATGACCTGATATGATTCTTCCAATTTATGCAATAATTCAGCTTGGTCGGCTGTACATAACGATGGTTTTACATCGTAGCTATTTGAAGGAGTAGATGTTTCTGTCACCTCAGGTTCCGCATACGAAACTCTTTTTCTTGCTCTCCATGGCTTCTCTTTATCATCTTCCAAAATACTAGCTCTAGGTAATTCTCGTTCTCGTGGTACGACTAAATTTGTGGTCAAACTTGAAGGCGGTGAAGTATCACTGTGATACGAATCATCATTCTCATCGTTTTTTCGAGATGCCTTCCCACCACTGTGCTTTCTGCAAGATATCAATCACGCAGCGATTATTCAGGAATTGCTGAAATTCATGCTTTTTTCCGAATGACAGATAATCTTCGTCAGTGAATACAGTTGCAACAACAATTTTTCAGCGATGCGGATGAAGAAATCAGAACAACATTTGAATAATTAGTCATGAATAAAACAGGAAAAAGAAAAAACACACTAGACTTCTCAACAGTTCGGGATTGAGTTAAAATGCACTTATAAAGAAAATGAATTCAAACCTACAAGTAGTTATTTTCAAGTTCCAGAAGATAAATTTGCTGTTGCAGTTGTCTCGTGTACTGTTCTTGTAGATGGATTGCTGACTGCTCAAGATCACTTTGTCGACATGAACATGTTCTCGTCCTGAATGTTTAATAGAGGTTGCAAATTTAACATTGATGGAAAAACTTTTTTCAAGATGTAATTGAAGCCCAGTTATTTGCTTTAATTCAGTAGGTTTAAAGACTTACTCTTTTGGAGTAGTCTTGATTGATGGGACTGAGGAAGTGATCATATTGCGTATATTTCCAATGCTGCCACTTTTTCGAAGTGTTGTCCTTGTGGTAGTTGTGGACGTGGACGTTGTCCGGCGTGTGGCTGGTCTTTGTGGCATCACTGCTGCAGATGATAGAACATTTTGCAACCTATGGCATGAGGTATTATCGAAACTCACATAGCCTGTACCTAGAACTTTTGCAGAGATTAAATCTCGTCATAGACAAGTACTGGACAAGTAACAATGAACAAAGTTGTTTACTTTCATCATTAGTGCTAAGGTTTAAATTTATTAAAATGTTATCAAATCAAATCCAAATATTCATCGCTGTATCTTAAAGATAAATATATACACATATTCAAAAGGGCTAAGGACTGCTGTAGCACTCAGTGTCATTTCTTGATAAATGATTAAACTACTACTTTCAAATTGGACAAGCACTTGGCAGCCACAGTATCCCAGGCTTGAAAAAAGTGCAAAGAGAGTACATATGTTACCAAATACCAAAAGATTTAATACCAGGAATGAACCGGAATTGGATCAGTAAACTGCTTATAGATGTTCCATTGAAATAGGAAGATAAAAAAAAATAGGCCAATTTTTAAGAAACCGGAAATTTCACCTTTTATAGCAAGATTTCCTGCTGAACCGAATTGTTTCCGCTGTCGTTGATTCATTATGTACGGGTAAACTGCGCATTTTCTGCTCTCAGTACTGCTTCAAACGCATTACTTGAACTGGAAAAAAGGCAAGAATTTCCAAAATTTGCAAATAGCTATTACTGCTTGCTTCATTTTGGTCCAAGGGATAATGGGCCTAAAATTAAAATGAAATGGTGAACATCACACAAATCTTGGCTTTACATAGGATGGATAAGGCAAATTATTGGGGTTTTAACTTCCAAAGGAAACAAAGCATAAAAAGCATTTGTAAGAAGTTCATATGAATAATAACAAAAGTAATGGAAATATATGTACATACCAATATTTCCTGAACATTGGAAACTTTCTGGGCATCATTTTTAAATTACAGGGTGCGAAATCTGGCCAGAGCATGGATGCAGTTATTTGAAATTAAGGTATAAGTCTACAGATTTCGAAAAAAGTTATTCAAAAATGATATAAATCTAGCCTAAGAATAGACAAATTTTGAAATGTCACTAAAACGTTCAAAGGCTTTAATAAACTCAACTTTTCCTTTGAAACAAATGCTCTTTTGTTCAAGGCTAAGCTTAACAAGTAAGCTATATTCTTGGTAGGATCTTAGTTAAATTAAGTTCAAGTTTAAGAAAAAAAGTAGGAGATCAAGTATTTGCATGTGAAATCAAGGAAAAAGAATCAAGGAGTGTTCCGTTTGAAGCTGTCACTTTTCTCACTTGAAGTAAAAAGTTTTGACAAAATAACATCTGCGATAACATCTCAGAAAATTACAATATTTTCGTGTTGCAAAAGAAGCTTTATATATAACTAACTTCTGCTAATTCAATGCAATCCACTGATACATAGATGGATTAGCTAATAAAAATGCTGTTGAGCTTGCCAAATATTAGACAGCTAACAAGGTATAAATCTTTTCATGCTTAACCAATAACGGTCACCCAGGCAACGAACGCGACATGCCTTAAGCATTCATTGTAATCTGAAACTTACTGGATTTATTTGAGATTTTATTAGCTAACTAATTTAAAATGTACAACATTATGAAAGGGGACACTAATTAATCAAGATAGTGAGTCATTTTCAGACACGTGTACCGCTTAATGAGTTTAACATTTAATTAAATTCATTAAGGAGCATTTCATAAGCTATACATTTTACTACCTAATGTTATGTAACATAAACATAATACTACAGTAGATATCGTTACAGTTCTTCGTAACCGGTGTTACATCGAACACCTTTCGCACGAAACAACCATAGGTTTTAAAAAGTTAGACGGAAAAGTCGGACGTTTTAAAAAGTCCGAACACTTTTGGAAAAAAAGGTGAAAAAGAAATTTAAAAAGTATTGATAAAAAGGAACAATTTTAGCACAAAAGTAATGTTGATATTGGAAATTTTAGAATAAAAGTAATTTCGATATTGTCGACATTACTCAATTCGTACTGTAAGATGTTGTAATTTAACTCATGCTGATAATCAAATTCATCTGCGACGTCGATAATTGTAAAGAACTTTCGGCCAATCAGTTCGAACTTATTGGTTTGTTAACTAACAGCATGCAACAAAATCTCCTTAACTCTCTCTGCAAGGACTTTATACCTAGAAAAGTGATCGATACCGATTTGTTACTCGCTGATATCTTTTCACTGATTTTATCTGTATTAAGAAAATACCTCAAAGCCTACAAGCCTTTTGCACAATCAACCGTAGTTACCAACCGAAAAAACTCCGACACAACGCAAATGCAACGAGGTTAGGGTATCTTATTGAGACGTTAAAGGTTCATTTCAGTTTCCACTAGCAACAAATTATCAGTACAACGTAAGTATTGCTATTCTGTACCTATTCCGAAACCGGCTCCATTCATTTACATGGCCCAATGCCGCATATTGCGCAACCCGAGAAGCAGAACAAAATTTTTCACCGCCGAATGTGGACTACCGAAGTTATCAAAGAAAGGTTTGTGTGCACTATTAAACCATTCACTCAGAGTTGCGTGGGCCTGGATATACGATCTGTCGGACAAGACTGAACAATGAAAGATACTTCAGCAATTCATCTTACAAACCAACTTCAGTAATCAATTCGATCCTGGAGTAATTTATCTTACAAACTAACCTACTAGTTTGTAAGATTAAAACATCGAGAACCGAGCAAATGAGTGAATTCCTTTGATAAGTTCCCTTCTGACAAAAAAGAGGGTAGGTAAAAAACCCCTTTTTCTTGAATAGTCTTCTTTACCAACAATACAGAAGTCAGCGATATATAACCCAAATTCTTCCCGATGATCGTCATGAGGTATGATAACATTAAAAATTTATTGACCAATGTATTTCACTTGTGTTATTAATGAACAAAGGTAAGTACAAGGGAAGTTTGAAATGTCCAGATTCCCAAAATTCAAAGACATTTCCAAAACAAGCTGGAAATACATCTGCTATTTTTGCATTAATATGAATTGGATTTAGAAATTACAAATGCAAAGGTCAAAACTCATTACAGAGGTGTAACTAAACATCATTCATACAATCTGTGCGAAAATATAATAGAATACCCAACAAGAAGCTTACGTGAAAGGAACAGTGTGCATCTGTTCTCCATAATGTTTACCAGCTCCCAATATCAATAAAGGAAGAGCAAAGAAAATACAAAATAAGCAGGGTCTTATTCATGAGACACTACCAATTACTTATGAAATTATCACTATCAATTAATCTGGTGAGGTCTGATGAGGACTAATTAGTTGCCAGGATTCTCAGATTCTGACCTTCCTTGTTCTGGAGTAGGAATACCAAATTTGGACTGATGTGCCGCACTCTTTGCAGGAATTAGTCGTTCGTGGTGTACGTAAGACTCACATGGATAACACCAGACCGAAAGATCGGTTAGACTCAGCACCATAGAATGACCAGTACGTATCCAATGATCGATTGCATGACCAGCATTATAACGGCTGCAGTTAACCTGGAATAAATAAAATAAAAAGCTTATTCTTTATACGCACAATACATATTAAATATAGCGGTCTCCAGATCACACTATTTATTTTTGGAGATTATTGCACTGGCTGTTCTAGTACAAAGCAGACCATAACATGGAAATGCAATGTATTCAACAACCAAACGTTCCCTATTCCCTATATTTTATAACAAATTACTGTCACATGTTTTGTCGTCAGCAAATAAACTGACCGCAATCTCAGTTCAACAACTTGAAAATCTTTTCCGATGCTAGGCTAATAAGATAACATCAACATTCCTAGATAAATCATGCTTGTCTCGATAAAGAATGTACGAACCGAATAGCAAGTTAAGCAAACCCACTGTTCCACACTGGAGTGGCATTCCGAACAAGATGCGTGTGCATTAACGCCTTCAGCAGGAAGATCGCTAATCTGGAATTACGACTAATGAGAACAGAGAACAATAATTTTTGGAGACTCACTGAGACTACAGGCAGTGCAGACTGTCATGACCACCAAATTAATTTCTTCTCGAATACATAAATTTAGCGACAGGATTATTTGAAAGGGAACAAACAACCACACTGATAGTAAAAGTTATGCAATAAGGGCAGAACTCCAACTTCATCAAGAATACGCAAATGTTTCTTGAAGCTCTCAGCAAATAGTTTTGATATATCCGCTACACATTTATAGAATCCTTGAAAATGAAGTTCTTTATTGCAGTGTGTTTAGATCTCTCAACATCTATTACCCCACAGTAGGATAGCGTCGTCTGATCTCCACTGAATTCCCATTCCAAAAACAATGTAAAAGGTAACCCAATTTTACCAGTCATTATCTTACCCCCACTTTATATTTCCTATATGCTTTTATTGTTCCAGAGAATCAGGCAAACAATTATTAAGATTTCGACAAAAACCCAACTTAAAGTTATACTACGTTACTTCACGAAACAAACATTATGTATGAATCAGTGATGGCTGTTCCCTCAGTTCCGAGCTTTCATAACATTGATCAAACGTATCTCGAAAATCCCCACTAGAATTTAATCACCATCACATAAGTCACTGTTCGATAAATAGTAAAAGCAATCAAAACTACCTCGACCAAGTGCGGACAATCACGTAATGGAATGACAGTATGTGGAACTCCTCCGCTCTCGACTTGCGTTGATGATGAGGATGAAGTTGTCGGTCCTACTCCTTCACTCCAAGTCATTCCTCCTTGTCCTTTCCCTTTGTAAGTAAAGTCAGCAGCAACAAAATACTTCGACTTTTAATCTACATTCAAGTTCACAACAAACAATTTCAAATAGTTCAAAACCCCTCAGATGTCAACGTTCCACACTCTTTGATCCCCCCGCCCTCTTCCCAGTGCCCCCCAGCTGCTCAACCATATCCTCCCGACCTTCCTCTCCCACTTGCACTTCCAACTTCTCCCGCCTAACCTCTGCTGTTCTGACATTCAGTTGCCGCGCCTTACTGGTTTATATTTCTTTGCCAAGTGCCACTATGAAAACCCATTCCACCCCTCAACTTCCGCGCAGCCAATGAGGCAGTGTGTAGGGGCGTGTGTTACGGGGTAGTCCCTAGACGCCGGACTGAACTTCGGGAATTTCCATACGATGACACTGTTACAAATCGACTGGACCTACCAGATCACTTTACTTGCTCGTAATGGAAAAACTTTCAGTGAAGCACCAAAGAGAATTTAGGGAAGAAAAGACAAAGTAATAATATTTGTAAAAGATTTTCTTGTCGATAATGGAAATTATTCTCGCGTTGTATGGCAAGGAGACTAGATAAGTTAGGAATGTATTCAAGATTCCAGGTTATAATTTGACAACTGTACGCTACTTGACTCTCTCTAGTGTTTGGACAGTTACTCTGCACCACAGATTTTTATCTCCTTCCAATTCTATCCTTCCTTGCATCGTAAGGCGTCGTAAGCATGCTTATTGTCGGGAAAGCTAATAAATTCCTTGTCGTTGCCTTCGATAATAGTTTGGCTGTCGGTCGGTTGATAAGTCGTTGAGTTGGAGATATGTTACCGGAAATATGTTCAGCGAATAGAAAGAATATCGTAGTTTGTTCTCCAGTGTTGGCGGATATGCGAGGATGTTTATATACACATGTATATGTATATATATACATATGTACGTGTATATATGTATATACATATATACGTGTATATATTACATATATACATATATATGTATATGTGTATATAGAATTGAGGAGTTTTGTAAGCTCCATTGGGTTATCATGAAGGTATGGCTGCCCTTTGGTATTGTCCATTGTGTAGGTACTGAGACCTCTTTATGTTATGCAGTCCATTGTTAGCTTATATCCTCTTCATTGCTTTAATTTTACTTACAAGATTTCATCATCCTGTCTGTTAGACACTGTGAAAATTTTGTTTGAACATATTTAATTTTACTAATTTGACACTAGTTAGTTATCGGTGACTTTTACGATTTCAGATATGCTTCATACAAGGAGAGGGCAATATCAAATGCAAAACCAAAACTTGTTCAGATATGCACCAATCACAAAAGCCTGGTAATGACTTCACTTCTCATTTCATGGTGAACTAGAACTTTATGACATTTTATGACATTTTCGATTTAAAATGACATTTTTAATGACATTTTCATAGAATGACATTTTCGATTTAAAATTGATTTTTCTATTGATAGAGCTATTGTTTTGGTTCACACTATTAAAAGCATAGCACATATCAGGTTAAGAATGTAATGAATCACAGAGAGTTGATCAGGAGGACAGGATAGGTTTCATTTTGGGATACCGCGGGTGATTCATGCTACTAAATTTGCTTCATTTTCCCGTTCACTCTTAACAGTTTGTGGTTTAGAAGTCACTTTGCTGCTTAGTAGTAACGGAAAGGACATAAGCGTTGTGCTAGAAAGACTGCACGTTGGGATATTTACTCAGACAGAAAAAATGGGTGGTCTCGAAAATTTACATAATTTCAGGTTGTTGATCACATTGTTCAGTTCTGTCATCTGCATGCATTTTGATATTGATGATTTTGATTCTTGGATTGCTCCATCACTGGAAAATATCATTTCCGTCAAGGGAGTAAGCACGTAAAAAAGTATTTCTCAAACGTTTGTCGTGGAAGGACAAGAATGGAAATTGAACCAAAAACGTTTTTGGAAAAAGGATTTACTTCTTTTGAAGATTTTTACTGTAAAGGCGGACCTTTTAAGGCGCAAACATGAACAGTGAATTCAGTATAGTACTATTACCTACAGATTTAGTAACTAACGAAATATTCACAACAACGAAATACTTCCTGCCACCAATGCAAAATTGGATGGTGAAGGGGGAAAACAATGCGTCGTAACGGATGTAGATTGACGGAGTAGAAAAAAAAGATATATAAGTCCGGATGATGATCCATTATAGCCTAGACAAGTGGACGGGTTTACAATGTCTACAAGGAATACACATACATATACATAACATCAACAAAGGAGATTTACAACGCAAGGTTTAGACGATACATTAATAGACAAAGTTCTACACGGTCACAACAGCCTCTTTTCTATTATTGTATATAGACAGTTAATATAGATAAACAAAAAGGAGGGAAGATTTAAATATAACTTAATATGAGTTACAGCTACACTGTGGGGAACTGTTTTGGGTTTCTCGACATAATATGCATGGCTTTATCTACGCTCGTCAGGGATATTTTCTGCACTGCTTGTTATAATTGAGAGTCATGAATTCATTAATAGAAATTAATTGTCATGGATGGTCATTGGTTCACCGATAGTAATTATTAGCAATTAATTCAAGGCGCTTTTAGATGTTGCAGTTGATTTCATCAAAATTGGTTTTTCGAACTCCTTCGTTACTTATTAGTGGATTAATTTTGTTGTATTACGGTCGATTGGTTGAACGTCGCTTCGGTTCTTGCAAATTTATAGTAACTTATTTATTTTTTGTATTCTTTACTTAGATTATGATGTTGCATATTTGATTACCAAAAATTATGATACCCGATTCATTGCGTTGGTTATATAGTGCTATTCCGAAGATGGATTGGTACCATAACGGTGCTGTGGAATGGCACAAGTTAATGGACCACGTTGATAAAAATAAGTGAATCAGTACATTTAATCCTTTATTGTCGAATGCATCACCACTGCTAGAAATTGATAGATCTTCAGTAAGCAGAAGTCTAATTCCTCTTTTCAAATTTTAGATATCATTAAAATAATTGTAGAGATTTATTTACAGAACTTCATTTTGTTCAATTCACTTCATGCAAGCGCTGTGGAGATAGCTATTTACTTCGTTCTATCACGATTTTATGGTTATATCCCATCAACTATGCACTTTATTGTTGGACCGTATGACTTGCTCACTGCACTATATCTAACATATGTGAAAGAGATACCATTAGTTCCGTATGCCAGTATACTTGGCTTATCATTATCAGCGCACAGTTTTCCGTTCATTATGTTTATTCAGGTTCTTTTCTGTTGCAAATTTTAGTTCTAGTGAGAACATAAATTGCCTAATGTTCAAATTAAAAATTGAGTCCTCTGCTAAAAATTTGGTGGTGAGGAGAATTAGTTCGTTTTGCTTAAAAATGATTGCGTGTCAAGTTATAAAGGTGATATTTTTCTGCTTGGTGAATGATAGAAGATGTTAGTGATGAATTGTTCTTTCGTCTAGTATATTCAGATATACTGATTTCTAAGATATTCATTTAAAAGATTCGCGGTAGAGCTACGCATAATATTATTTACTGTCCAACAACCAGGAAAAATTACGCTAAAATTGTTCGCCATTACTTGTAATACAATTTTCACTCCAAAGTTTCCGGCTCTTATTGTATGATTTAATGATTGAATAATAAACCACCTTTGTATTTATTTCAGCTACTTGCATTGTCGAAGCCTGTTTTGATTGCATGTACGGCGGGTGCTTCAAGCGTGCTCTTATATCCACAACTCTTTACAAAAATTAATTTCTTGCCGAATTTCTTTATTCAACTATTTCGTTCCACTTCAAACCCGATTGGTTGGCTGCTCCAAAAATTTGCCGAATGTGGTGAATTTGGAAGCGAGGTTACTTTACAAAAATAAAAAGAAATTTTAATCAGTCTAGCATTGCTTTACTTATACAACTTTTAAATCATTGGTACATAAGATTCCCTTATTTTCAAGTAGATATTTACAGGGAAGTGTTTTACCGATAGCAGCAACGGTTGAGAGACAGAGGATAGACATTCTAGATAACTACGAAAGAAGGTTAATGTTTGGGCAAATGCAGCGTGTTTACAGAAATGAACGAGTAAGACATGTTTTGTTTTGCAGTTTCTGCATTCCTTTTTAAGATGGATGGTTTGTAGTTTCGGTATTTTGTGCATAGACAATTTGAAAATTCAATACACTTCGCCGCTTTACTTTTAATGGAATCGACTCTTTCGTGAAATAAATTCGCCATGTGAAAAACGTTGCGTATAGAGTGAACGCCGTAGCTTCGATTACCTTAAAACTTAACTAAGCTCTGCTTATGATTAAGTTATCTTATCTTGTAATTGGTTGCTGGAATTCTGACTTAATTTTCGTTTTTAAATTAAAGTATTTCAAAATAGCAGTGGATTTGAAATGAAATTTTCCACTCGTATTATTTATCGCGAAAATTGTGAAACTTCAGGCAAACATTTCAGGCTCGTCCCAGCGACAGTCAACTTCATTTTTTGAATCGATTGTTGGGCAGGGCATCTACCGGTATTTTTTCACGTTTTTTTTTGTAAAAAATGACCCCTAATACCAAGGAATTGGTATGCGCGAAGTTTCTCGGTTTCGATTTTTTTAATCCTAAAGTTTTCAAAACTTGTAGTATGTCAGCAAATGTGTATTCAGTCTGGCTTCCTGCAATAGACGATAAATAGCTCGTTTATTCCTTGTACACTTAGGGAGTGCACGATCTAACGAAGACCAAGTGCGTCAACTCGTGGATATGGGCCTTGGATCTCGGGAAGATGTGAGGGAAGCTTTACAGCAATGTGGTAATGATGCTTCTGAAGCGGCTAATTTATTATTGCATAACCGGCGTTAACGTTAACTGATTTCGTTACTTAGTTCGAGTCGCTGTTTACATGTAATAATTTTCATTTCTTCAGGAACATAAATTATGCTTGCACTCAACATTTGTCTTATTTCTTTGTTTTTAGTACTCCATCCGTTGGTTTCATTATAAAATAAGTCGTGGGAAGGAATCATAATTTTCTTTTTCTGAAATGTGTATTCAATTTGTTTCATTTCCTCATTTAGTAATCTCGTAAAGGTTGAATTCCTTGTAAATTTTCTACTTGTATATTTTTTTACTTGTCTCTTACTGTGTATACCGTCCATGTATAGCCCTGAATTGTATCAGTTACGGTCATCCCATACATATTTTTATTTACATTTTAAAAATAAACTGTACTTAGGTATGCGTTTCCTTCATTGGCATAAGAGAAAAGATGGATGAAACGGAAACTGGGCGAGTGTGTTTTTAGATTACCAAGTATGATTTTAATTTTCTTCCTGTCATCTTTATGTATTTTGATGAAATTTTAGGGTACACCGCTACCTTATTCTCAGTACTTCTGACGAAATTACTACCAGTAACTGTTTAGTTCCACATGCTTTTCTATAATTCTTTGATTTAGACCCTTAATTTCCAAGTAGTTTTTGAATAACTGGGGAATGCCAAATTTTGTAGTACTACCTTGGTAGGATGCTGTGCTATACTGATGCGTTACATTCTCATTCTAAGTGAAAGTTATATTGTCTTAGTATTCCTAGTGATCTCAGCTGGTGTTTTCTGACAGGAATTGCATTGTTTGCTTGGTTGAGCGTGCTATGATTCTATGAAACTTAGGCATTTGCTGTGATTTCGTTAGGTGGATATTGTGTGTTTTGATTGTTATATTTTTTATATTATATTTCCTCCTACCGTTTAGATTTTCATTTTGATGTTTGATAAAAAAGTTTAACTGGAATGCGATTTTCAAGTTAGTAGTCATTCTTGAAATATTTTGAACTGCACATCAGCATGCTCAACTGTAAGATTCTGGTCCTAATAATTAAAACTTAAAGGAGGGTAATTTATATGTTCACTGCATGAAATGTAGATGATACTTTGAGAACTTGGTAAGGTGCTTGATATGAGCGTGTTGTATACGGAGTAGTTGAAATGAGCCTTTTAACGTCAATTTATGTTTGTTAGGTCACTTGGAATCATGATCAGACATTTTCTAAGGAAGGGTATCCGTCAAACTGGCTAATACATGGAGTTTATTTGTTAAATTATTTCGGAGTTTCAGTAGGATGAATTCCAGTGGTAAGCGGAAATTTAGTGATCATGTTGACAGTGATTGTGCGAAGCGAGGAGTGTGGCTCGTGAAGGTAAGCTTCAACGATTTTCATTGGATATCATTTACTTTGTTGTTGAGATATGTATTGTTAAGTAGTCATAGTTGAATATAGATGTTCGGTTAATCACAACCCAGCTTGGTTGAAATGAAAAGAAGTGGTAGTAATATTTTCCGATCTCGCGATCATTCCGTTGATGATCTTAGTGAAATATGAACATGGCTCGGTGTGAATAAATCTATATGCTCCTTTATTTTTATTTCTCTAATCATGAATCCGTTCTTTCGTGTATCTAAAATACGCAACGCTATGGCATAGTGCTCATTTTCTTCCCGGTGATATTCCGCTCTTTTTCTCATCAAAACAAGCACCCCTATATACATATAGTCATACTAATGAGATATGAATTTCTAGGTGCCGAGATATTTGTCTGAAATGTGGGAGAAGAATGTCGGCCACGATGTTGGACGATTAGTAATCAAGGCAGCAAATGGAAAAACTGACTTGGTGTTTAAAAGCAACACAACGTTGCTTGAAAAGAATCCATCAGGTTGTCTGGCAGATGTAATCAGCATATCTTTAATGTATCAAGAACCACTCTTAGTCCATATTATCCACATTGAGTAAAGTTATGAATTTATGTGGATTTAGGTCATGACAAAGAGGCTTCATCGTCGAACTCATTTTTGAGCTCACTATCTGGGAATAGCCTCTCCGCATCACGAAGTAATCGAATTGGTTTCGCAAAATGTAAAGAAGCAAATTTCACAATGCCAAATGAACACAGCTTCGTCATCGGCGATATTAGGAATCAGTCGCTAGCCGTGCTCTGTGAAGGTCCTTGTTATACTTGTATTCGTAATAATAATTTCAGCTGTTTTGACTTAATTAAAATCACCCCAGTCATTCTTTTCAACGATTCATTTTTGTTCGTATTTAGTTTGAATTATTCAGATAAAAGTGGCTTGAATGAAGATGCTGATATATGCTCCGGCCGCTTAAGTATTGAAGGGCGAGTTGTGAAAAGAGCCGACTGTAGGCCTCCTCAAACAGCTGATTATATGCGAATGAAAATGTACATTTTACAAATCGTTTCTTAATGTGTTATCAAGTATTTAAAGTGAGGATTTTGTTTGTAAAAATATACTGTCCATGTTTCGTCATTGGTGCTAGCAACTAATGTCGAGATATAGGATATGTGCCGACGAATAATACCAATTGGAATGTCAAGTTTCATTCACATTTCATTTCCTAATGCGTAAGAGACTGTAGATCTGACATGGTTTTTGGTGAACATCGTTTTCATGCGAAAAGTTTTTCGGAAGGAAACATTACTAAAGTAGTACAGCAACTTATAAAAGTTTGAAGTTGCGTAATCCATGAACTCATCCTGATCTCTTTCGTTCAATACAGAAATTTTACAGAAAACAAATAGAGAAGAGCAGTCAGCCAAAGCGGCATGTAAAGCAAATGGAAAAAGCTGAAGTGAAATTCAAGCCTATTGCTGTTCATGCGGAAATGGTGTGGTTTGCTTTTGCAAATCTTTTAGATAACTGTAACTTCTCTTCCTGTCAACATCTCAAGCCCAGAGATTCGATATTTTGCTGTAAAGGGATTTCGTTTTTTTTTCATTTCAGCAGGCTAGAGAGAAACAGAAGAAGGAAGGGGCAAAGACAGTTCGGGCTGATAAGGATGTTGTTCGACAAGCAATATTTCATGCTTTTGAAAAACATCAGTACTACCGATTGGTCGACTTACAGAAACTTACCAGTCAGCCTCCGGTTCGTTTTAATCAGTTCATTCATATTTCTAATAAGTTGGAAAGTGATTCGCTTAAATACATGCCAAAAGATGAAGTCGAAAATACCTTCCATTTATTTCCATTTTGTTAATACACGCACTACTCCATTTCTTGATGGTCTGATATAATATGTCTTTCCCTCCCAAGTCCATGATGTTTCTGAAGACAAAATCAAATTTCGATCTTGTTCTGATAACATTTTGCTACGTTTTTTACTTTCTGCTTTTATTTTTGATTTCCTTTTATTGCGCTTTCTACTTTTTTTGCGCAGCAGCTTTATTCATTTTAGTTTTCCATTTAATGCTAATTAGTAATGTCCTGAAAATAGTTCCGTATTATTTCAATCCAAAATTCAATTTCGTGATAGTTTGTTCTAATTTCCATTTTCAGGGATTTGTTAAGGAAATATTAACAGAAATCGCTGTGTATAATACAATGCCACCACATAAATCAATGTGGGAGTTAAAACCAGAATATCGAAGCTATCGTAAAGATAAAAAAGAAACTGAATAACAAGGTATTTTTTATACGGGCTCAATGCAAATGGTGAAATGAACGTATCGCTAACGAGTCATATTTTTATTTATACTGACGCATGGCTATCAATAGACCCAGTAAATTCATCTTATTTCGGTGGAAATTTCAGTTTAAATGCGTCAATATGCTTAGATGTGTTTTGATCACTGTTACCATCTCTAACTAACAAACTCCTGGGAATGTCTGATTGACCTGTCTTTTCTCTTTAGTGAAACTAATGAGTTTCACTTATGATGATCATGTAGAAAATGCCACTTCATAGTTCTGCTCAGGCCGTGCTTATGTTAATACTCGTTTAAAATGCATCAATCTGAAAATCCTTCATGACGAGATATTTGTGACCGGAAATGTCATTATGTGTACTTTATTCCGCGTTCATACTACGTCAAAACTTACGTTCAGATTTTGCGTTGGAATACATAGATTTTGTAGTCATACAACTAGATTAACGAAATGATCGACCTTCAGGGGGACTGTTCTCCTGATTAATTCCTTCTCAAACTTCTGTTTTAAATATATAACTGATTTCAAATTTTCGAAGCGTCAAAAGACGCGAAGTTGTACAAAGAGGAGGCCATTTCATGTAGCATAACTGATGTCATCATCCCAGGTCATCCGGTAATAGTCATTGGTCATGGTATTCCACACATTTACATGTATAAGAAAGTTTCCAAAAATCGAACAAATCATAGCATCCTTTTATACTTATTCTGTATTGTTCAGACATTTATATTAAATATATTGCGGAATATTTGTTCTCGGCAGCGATTTAACACGAAATTCGAATTTTAATTAGAGATGTAAAACATATAGGCAAGTTAAAAAAAGAAAGATCTCTTCAAAAATGTAAGCATTCCCTCACTTTCACAAAATTCCATTATATATATATATATATATATATATATATATATATATTATATATATTATTATA